TTGTACGAAAAAATTATATTAACATATACAATAAGGTGATAGACAAAAAACTTAAGTAAATGGTGATTGAAGTAAAGGAAATGGAGATTTAATCTCTTTCAAATGAATAACAACTGCACCATTGCTAGAATCCATTTGACTGATTACTCGCATTCGTGTAGCTGGTAAAAGAAGAATTTCATCTTCTGTTTTGCAATATGAATGAGCACGGATAGACTTGCCAGTTTCACATTCGATACGAAATAATGTTTTTACACCTGTCTTGCCTAGAAACTTCTCTTGTTCAAGAAATTGACGTGATTCACTGCAGGAACTATACAAAGAGTTTAATCAAAATTGATTGAGAATGTAACGATAATAAAACTGACCTGAATCCCCACCAGACGAACTCTTTGCCAATTGGATATTGAGTACTTAAGTCACCTTTAACACCACTCCATACTGTTGTTTTCATTGATGGAAGTTTCCATAGAGCTGTTAGAACAAGTTTTAGATAGGAGAGAAATGGAATGAGTTTATCTCGATTTGCTTCTCGTAAAGCAGTATTGATATGAATGTAGAATGATTGATCACTTGGTATCCATTCCATTGTATACAATTGAATAGCAGCTGATTCATCTTGAGTAAGTCCATTAGCAACAGTAATAGATCTCTCTTTCGCAATCCATGCATTTCGTCTTACATTTGGAATCATATTCTCCAAATGTTTGACAGCATCTTCTAAGAATAAGAGAGGTATGTTTTCATGTCCTTCGATTCTAAAAATAAAATGTGATGAATAGTATTTCTTATAAATGATGAATAGAATATTACGATAGAAGCATTTGTTGGTGTTCGTTTCGAATATCAAGAAAACGTGAATGTAATTTGGAGATGCTTGATGCAGCATTAACAGGAGGAATAATCTTGTCTTCTACAATGAAAAAGAGGCTTGCAGAATTGTTCCTCGTATGTTATATATTTCAGCTATCCTTTAGTATTACTCCTATCTATATATAATGTTCAATGTGTGTCTGTTTCTCTGTGCCGGGTCAAAGATCAAATAAGGCTATAAGGGAAAGACGCCAAGAGCTACTGAGGACTCATAGGTCCTCATGGGCTATTATGTGGAGGTGCCCATAGGTTCACAAGGGCTATTATTTGAGGGTACTCATAGGTCTACAAGAACTATTATGTGAGGGTACCCATAGGTCCTCAAGACTTATTATATGGAGGTACTCATAGGTCCTCAAAGGCTATAAGGCTACAGGAATATGAGGCTATAAGCTGGTAAGGGAATAAGGCTATAAGGCTATAAGCTGATAAGCATATAACGGTAAAGGGGATAAGAGGCTAAGGCTACAGGGGCATAAGTGATAAAGCTAAAAGAGTATAAGGAGATAAGGGTATAGTGGATAAGTAGATGAGGCTGCATGGGATATAAGGGATAAAGGAATAACGCAATAAGGCTATAAGAAGTAATACCACAAGAGTATAAGTCTACGAGGATATGAGGCTATAAGGTCTCTCTATATATAATGCGAACTGTCTGATTGTCTATTACCAAATCAAGGCTAAAGGACAGATGTGAAACTTTACAAGAAAAAAGCATCCGTGCAGTATGCACGGGCTCTTGCTAGTATCATTCATATTGTAAAGTATTCTATAAAAAATTGAATCATGAAAATAGATCGTTATAGAACAATGTGGGTGTGGGTGTGGATGTGAATGAAGAGAACACACCCACACCCTGGCGGATAACTTTCTTATAATAGTTTTAATTATTTTGAAGCTTGCAAAAAACATTAAGTCCACAAAAATTTTGTCTTTTTAGAGTGCTATTTCTAAGCAAACATAACTGTCTCCGAATGATTGGAAAAAAATGATATCGGTTCGATCTCGATACTTTCACCTCATGTTTGATCAAGTATTTTCTGAGGATCCATTTTCGAGATCGTCATGACACAAAATGATAACTTTTGATACGTATATTGAGAAAGTAAAAGAAAACTCACGAAAAACTACACAAATACTGTGCTCTGTATCACATTAATTATTGATTACTCACTTGGTTCACCATGAGAAAATTCTCCTGACATTTTTCCAGTATCATTTTCATCTAAATAAGGTTTCTTCATTATTGATGAACATAATTTTTCAACATCATTTAGTTTATTTTCAAACTCTTCTTGTTCAGCAAACTAAAAACAAGAAAATAAATAAGACATATCATAATAATAATGATTTTCTCACCTGATTTGTTTCTAACCATGTCAATATGTTTTCAAGAGCATTAAGCATTTTCTTTTTATCATAAATATTAATTTTGTCTTTCAATTTTTCATCATTAATTGTTGTTTTCATGTTACAACAATATGATTCTAATGAATTTTTAACTTCAATACGATTACGTCGTATCTTATCTTCTTTTTTATATTTTTCAGCATCAGAAATCATATATTCAATTTCATCTTTAGATAAACATTCTTTTTTATTTGTAATTGTAATTCTTTTTTCTTTTCCAGAAGTTTTATCACTAACTGAAACCAATAAAATACTATTTGCATCGATATCAAATGTAACCTCAATCTCTAATCCATCACCAGAATTTAGTGAAATGTCAGAGAATTCAAAACTATCAAGTAAATTATTATCTTTCGTCATTGAATTTTCACCTTCAAATACTTTAATATTGATTCCTGATTG